GCACACGCCTGCCCACAGCACACACTGCTCCGAGCTGCTGCCACCCCCTCACCACCCCGCTCCCACCTCACCAGCTGCACACGCACCCCAGCTTCCCCCCAGCTGCACACGCCTGTCCACAGCCCGCACTGCTCCCACCCCTCCCACCTCACCAGCTGCACACATCCACCCAGCTCCCCCCCCATCAGCTGCACATGCCCCCCCACAGCCCGCACTGCTCCCCCCCAACCCATGGCTGGCACTGCTCCCCCGGCTGCTCCCACCCCCTCAAACTCACCCCCCACACAGCTCCCACCTCTTTCATCTCACCTGCTGCACACATCTGCCCAGGCGCCCACCCCTAGCTGCACACCCCCACCCACAGCACACACGCCCCCAGCTGCACACTCGTTCCCCGGTCGGGCCCTGCCAGGGGCACCCCAACTGCTGCCACCAGCTCCTACGTCCTCACCCCCCCCCTCAGCTGCACATGCCCACCCCCAGCTGCCCACACCATGCATTGCTCCCCCATCTGCCCCCACATCCTCCGCCGGCTGCCCCCATCCCTCACCCACACCCTTCCCCCGCTACACATGGCAGCCCACACCGTGCACACCCCCAGCTGCAGATGCACCCGCCTTCCCCCACACGGCATTCCTCGGTGGGGCCCTGCCAGGGGCACCCTGACCTGCTCCCAACCCCAACTGCTCCCCATCCAGGTCCTACCCCCTCCCACCTCCCCGCACTCCTCAGTGGGGCCCTCCCAGGAGCACTCCGATCTGCTCCCCCCGCCCAGTCCCCCCCAGTTCCTACCCCCTCCCATCCCTGGCTGCTCCCCCCCACAGCTCCCACTCACAGCCCCCCCCCATCCCTCTCAGTCACAATTCTCCCCTCCCCGGTTTGCTCCATGTCCCCCTCTCTGGAGTGCTGGGGGGGATAAGACCATTGTCTCTCTTACTTCCCCCCCCCACATCCCCCAAGTCCCGCTCCTCACTGGGAATGGAGAGGAAGGGGCAGTGGGGTCGAGCAGAGATGGGGGGCAGCCAAGGTTAACCCTGGTTCGCCTTCCACAGAGTGACCCAGCCAAGAGCAGTGGGGGTGAGATGGGGGCTTGTGGGGCACAGGCCTCTTGGCAGGGAGCCCAGGACTCCTGGCTTCTCTCCCTGGCTCCAGAAGGGAGTGGGGTTTTGTGGTTACAGCAGGGGGTGGGGCTGGAAGCTAGGACTCCTGGGTTCTCTCCCTGGCTCTGGGAAGGGAGTGGGGTCTAGTGGTTACAGGGGAGTGGGTGGGAACCCGACTCCTGGGTTCTAGCCCCGTCTCCCTGCTGCCCCCTGGTGGGCTGCTGACACAGCACCTCAGGCGAAGGCAGGGCACAGGGGTGGTTACGAAGCCTACTGAACATGATCCAGGCAGATGGCGCCAACCCCAGGCCAGCTCTGGGGTGGGCTGTGCCCGGGCCCCCCACTGCACATGGCGGCTCAGAGCAAAACTGCTGGTTGCAACTGACGTCCTCATGGTGCGGTTTCACCTTCCAGCCCCGCGTCTTGTCTGTGCTGGCTGGGACAATCGCTCCCGGCTGTACCCATACACCTGTACTCACACCCCCAGCGCTGGCTGGGACACTCACTCCCGGCTGTACCCATTCGGCTGTATTCACACCCGCAGGGGTGGCTGGGACAGTGGCTCTTGGCTGCATTCACACCTGTAGCTCTGGTCATGCCCAGCTCACCCCCTGCTGCAGATCACGCCGGGCCGAACCCGTCCTCAGTTCCCACTCCCCCAGTTGTGGGGTCAAGCACTACTGGCTGGCCCCTGGCAGGCCAATGAGAAAACACGCCCGGCTGGCGGCCAATGACCCGGTGAGGTCCCTCTGGGGACCGGCCATGCAGCCAGCTTCTACCCTCGGGAACAGCCGCACCAGCAGAGACTCCTGGCTCGCCACCAGCTGGCACTGAGCCTTGGCACGAGGAATTTACAAACTGGGGCCCGCTGGGCAGTGCCGCGATACTCCCTGGAGGCCAGCGCTGTGCAGGGGGTCAGGCGGGGTTGCGCCGCACCCTGTCCCTGGGGATTTACAGCTGGCAGGGGCAACCCCTCAGGCAGTAAAGCAGGTAACAGCCAGGCACCGGTGCTGTGTGCATGGGGGCGCTGCAGGGTGCCTTGGCACTGCAGATCCTGACTGCCCCCATCGGTGATGCCCCCTGTGCCTCCCCCAGCATTCCTGGGAGGGCAGAGAACTCAGGGTCAGAGCACACTGCACCCGGCCCCCAGCCTGCCCCACCCCCGGATTCCCCGAGCCAGGCTCACCCCCGATCCGGAACGGGCTGATGCCCAGGGAGTGGGTGGCACTGGCGGCCCAGCCTATGACTGCCCCCCACCCCCCAAATGACGACACTCTCCAGCTGTGGGGCAGAAACAAGCTTTATAGGGAACCAGCAGGGTCCTCGCGCCATGGGCCCCCCCAGCCACCCCATGGCCCTACCACCCCATTATAGGCCATGCCCCCGCCACGTGCAGTTAGCCCAGCCACACCCCTTCCTTTGTAACCTCCAGGGAACCCCCATGGCCAATCCAGGCCCTCCCTGCCCTGCCCCCCCCCGGGGCCCCACCCCGCGCTCAGGCGGCCCCATCCCCCTGCGGGTCCCCGCGGTAGTGGGCATGGAGCTGGGCCACGTCGTCGGTGGAGACGCGGACCCAGCCGTCCCGCCGGACGTGGTACAGGTTGACCTCGCCCCCGGAGTAGGCATCGCGGTAGGTGGCCTGGTAGATGGCGCGCCGGGCTAGGTCGTAGGCCTCCTCGGCTGGCATGTCGGGTGCGTAGCCGCGGTCCAGCACCCCATAGGCGTACACCGAGCCCGAGCCCACGGAGAAAGCCGTGCCCGAGAGGCGGTTCCCCTCACTGTCCACGTAGTACAGGCCTGAGGAGAGAGGGGAATCATTGCAGGGCTGCCCCCGGAGATGGGGGTCCCCCCCTCCCAGGGACAGGGGGCATTGCACATGTAACCCCCTCCCCCCGAAAGTGCAGCCCAAGGGGAGGGGATGTGGCAATGAGGGTCCCATGGAAGGGGTAGATAAGAGGATCACCCCAAGTCCCAAGGGGGAAGGTTGGAGCCGGTGAATGGGGGGGGCAAGGAGTTGGGGAGGGAGGGGGCTGGGTGCTCTGGGGCCCCGGGGGGACTGGGGAGACCCAGGGAGGGGGATAGGTGCTCTGGGGCGGCTGGGGAGACCCAGGGAGGGGGA